TGAAGTAATGAATGAACCTGCACAGGAAAAGCATCCATATCAGCTCTTAAAGCAACAAAAGGAGAGAGTCCAGTTCCCATGAAACCAATGACACCAGTGATTGCAACTGGATGTTTATAAGCTATACCCATTTTGTCCAATTATGATCTTATCAGTTTACTTGTCTCAAATTCTTGATAACCCAATTCAGGATTCTCATGAATCTTCCTTCTAATACTGATCATCCAATCGAAAACCTCAGGACTCTTGGCAATGTCTAGAAAGTTGTCGATTGAGGAATGATCTATTGATGATGACAAAATGGATGTTGCAGCCAAGACATGCCACATGAGAAAACATTGGAAGCATTTGAGTTTGAAGGAAGAAGAAGACATGGTTTCGTTTTTGTACAATGAGTAGGTCGTTGACTCGTAAACTATGATCCACACATCAATATAAATATCTGAATTTGATAGGTTCAGATTTTCTTAATACATGGAAGACTTTTTTTTTAAATATATATAAAAGTAAAAGTTATGAGACATTTAAGGATTACTTTAAGAAATGTATTAATAAAAATAAAATACAACTCCAAATTTTAACTCCAAATATAACATTTAAGAATTACTTTAAGAAAATATGTATTAATAAAAATAAAATAAAGTATTATGGAGGACTACAACAAAATCTAAGGTAAGAGAACAAATTTAAAATGTTAGTAACTTATTATTACGGGTGTGTAATTGGTTATGGGCATGTTAAAAAATCAAATAAATTAAAGAAAATGTGATTATGGCGATGGTGTAATCGGTTATGCATTTGCAATAACTGGTTATCAGTGTTTCTATTTTTAGAATTTTTAGCTACTGTAATTAATTACAGATTTGTGTAACTGGTTACAAATTTTAGAATTGAGTTTTTTCAATTATTTGATGTTGTAACTTGTGTTTCATTCCACTTGTAATTGTTTAAATACCTTAGAGGTATTGTTATCAATGTTAATGTGAAATTATTCTCTCTCTCTCTCTCTCTCTCTCTCTCTCTCTCGTTACAATTCACTATCTCTCTCACTCTCTATCTTTCCACATTCAATTTCTCCATTATTCACTAATCTTATGGTTTCAAGTTCTAACATTTGACATCAAGAGTGTGTTTCTGATCCACAAACACCTAGTGTGCAACATGAATTATGTCTCCAATGAAAGAATCTATGCAAGCCTACCTATCCTTGATGCAAAGAATTACGACAAATGATGCAAACAAATGAAGGTGTTATTTAGCTACTAGGATGTTCTTGAAGTGATCAAGAACGGGGTAAATCCTTTTGTCGAATGTGCAGCAGATGCACGACGAGCAACACATAAGGAAGATAAGAAGAAAGATTTCAAGACATTGTTTTTGATCCATCAATGTATGGATGGTTACAACTTTGAAAAAGTTGGTGATTGAGAATCACTAAAGGAAGCGCGTGAAATCTTAGAGAAGGGCATGGAGAGAGGCTGACAAGGCGAAGGTGGTGAGGTTACAAATTAACACACGTCAGCTTAAATTTATTCAAATGGAAGAGAAGGAAGTCATCAATGATTTCACAACAAAAATCACTCGATTAGTGAATCAAGTGAGGCATGTGGAGAAACAGTCACTGAGCAGTATGTTTTTGCGAAAATCTTGTGTTCTTTAATGCCAAGATATGACAATGTGGTTGTAGCAATTGAAGAATTGAAGGATCTTGCAATGATGATCAAAGAGGAGCTATAAAGCTCTCTTGAGGCCCATGAGGAAAGGAAGGAGGAAAGAAATAATGATAACGCAAAGGCACAAATCTCTTTGCAAGCTCATTTCAACGAGAAGGAGAAGAAATCTAAAGAAAAATGGTTCATGAAGAATAAATGGAATTTGCAGAATTTTGGTGGAAGAGAGTCCCAAAATGTCAAGAATTCGACTTGTCAAAGGGGTGAGAGCAGCTGCAACAAAAATGGTGGTCACGGAAAATTTAGAGGTGAAAGGAAGAGGATTGACAAAAGCAAGGTGCAATGCTTTAATTGTCAACGGTTCGGTCATTTTGCAATAGAGTGCAATGCAAACAAGAAGGGACCTTAAGGGGATGAAACCAATATTGCAAGGCAAGAGTTTGAAGAAGAGAATACAATGTTGGTAATGATCACATAAGGGGAATGCAATAGCAATAGGTTGCGGGACAACATCAGCAACAATTTTTTGAAACGATGCAGAAAGATGTTGTAACTCGTTACGTAAAATCTATAACCAGTTACAGGCAAAAAAAAATGACATGATGAGTACTAGAGGTTCAGTTCATTGCAGCAAGGAATGGTATTTGGACTCCGAGTGTTCTACTGATATTAAGGGGATGAAGGATTAGTTTGTTAAAATTAATTGTGCCATGAAGAACAAAGTAAAGTTTGTGGATGACACCATTCTAGCAGTCGATGGGGACAATGATGTTTTAATTATGAGAAGGGATGGTGGACATTATTTGATCAAAGATGTATTGTACATCCCAAGAATCAAATGTAACCTTCTAAGTATTGTTTAATTTATTGAGAAGGGTTACAAGATTCACACGGAAAACAAGGGGTTACACGTTATGGATGCAAACAATGCCTTGGTCCTTAAAGCTTCTATGCCTACCAATAGAATCTTCAAGGTTGAGGTGAATTTTATGGAGCATAGATTTCTTGTTACAATAGTTATTCAAGAAGACTAGATACAAAATTATCGTCTTGGGCATCTTTATTTTCTAGATCTCAAAGACTTGCAAAAGAACAGAATGGTAATGGGGTTGCCATTGATCAACATACCGGCTGGAATTTATGAAGAATATGTGCATCACAAAAGAATAGGACTTAAGAGGAAGATATCAATATAGGAATTAACACTTGAGGAGGTGGTACATCTATTAAATAAAGTTATTGTAACAAGTAAGGAAAACCTCATACTAAGTTACACTAGTGACAATCCATATGAGTGGAAGAATTTTGATGACAACATAATATCTTGGGTTAGCAAGGAGCAAGTAAGAGTGATCTTTTATAATGATTAATATGAACTATATATAGTTGGAAATTGTGAGATGTTGGATCAAAATCTAGTATGGTCGAAGTCTGTTCGTGAGTAATGCGTGTTGTAGTCGAAGTTTGTTCTAACATGCATTAGTCAATATTGCTAGGGTTGTTAGCATATTGAATTGGGTCTTGCTTGTAAGCCCAATTGTTTAAGTTAGTTTGTACCCTAAATTAGCTTGTAATGGGTAATTGTTAAAAAGCCCATTAGGTTAGTGTGCTATTTTTCTTATAAATAGGATACTAGTTTCTCAATCTTGACATAAGGAAAAATAGGAAGATAAAATCGTAATTTCAAAAGAGAGAGGTTAATTTGTTATTCTTGTATACTTGTAATCTTGTTCTAAGAGAAACGAAAGAATAACAGTTTAATAACCAATCCTTATTTTTTTCTTCTTTATTTACCCTAACTCTAACCCTTGTGTGTTTCTTGATCATTAAGAAACTGGTTATACTTAGTTTTAAGGTATCCGATTCACAACAAATTGGTGCGGTGAGCGTGGAGAAGATGCCTTCAACAAAGTATGAGATTGAAAAGTTCACCGGAGTGAACGACTTCGGTCTGTGGCGCTTGAAGATGAAAGCCCTATTGGTTCAACAGGGTTGTTTGGAAGCGTTGAAGGGTGAGGCAGCCATGGACGCTGCGTTAACGACAAAAGAAAAGACGGGCATGACCGAGAAAGCCCACAGCGCAATATTGTTGAGCCTTGGTGATAAGGTTCTTCGACAGGTATCAAAGGAGACTACAACTAAGCTAAAAACATAATAGACTATAGTAGGTGTAAAAAATTAATTATATTTTATTTTTCTACTACATCACAAAATTTTAGGTTTTTCACCACTAAATAACAAAGTTAAAAGACTATAATCCATGACATATTTTTTATAAAAAATATGTCACAATTAAAAAAATAATCAAGCTATAATTTATTGATATTGACCATTTTCACATGAATTAGGGTAAGTTAGATGTAAATATATTCAATATGTTTCTTCTCCATCACCAAATCTCATGTTTCTTCGTCACTAAGCCACAGTGTTAAAAGACTGTAAATGAATGTCAAATAAATTACATCTACATGGGTAATCACTAAAATTAAATATTTAAGCTCAATATTATTTGTATTCAGTATAATCACATTGCATTATGATATAATAGATGTAGGATATAATAGATGTTTATATTCATCGTATTCAGATTGACTTATGGTATATTACATCTAGAAATATTCAATATTTTTCTTCACAATCCCAAAGTTTTAGAATTTTTAATCACTAAGCTAAAAACATATTAGACTATAGTAGGTGTAAAAAATTAATTATCTTTTATTTTTCTACTATATAAATTTATTTTAGGTTTTTCACCACTAAATAACAAAGTTAAAAGACTATAATCCATGACATATTTTTTATAAAAAATAGGTAACAATTAAGAAAATAATCAAGCTAGAATTTATTGATATTGACCATTTTCACATGAATTAGGGTATGTTAGGTGTAAATATATTTAATATGTTTCTTCTCCATCACCAAATTTCATGTTTCTTCGTCACTAAGCCACAGAGTTAAAATACTGTAAATGAATGACATATAAATTACATCTACATGGGTAAACACTAAAATTAAATATTTAAGCTCAATGTTATTTGTATTCGGTATAATCACATTGTATTATGATATAATAGATGATTATATTCATCGTATTCAAATTGACTTATGGTATATTACATCTAGAAATATTCAATATTTTTCTTCATCATCCCAAAGTTTGAGAAAATGAAGTAATGAATGAACCTGCACAGGAAAAGCATCCATATCAGCTCTTAAAGCAACAAAAGGAGAGAGTCCAGTTCCCATGAAACCAATGACACCAGTGATTGCAACTGGATGTTTATAAGCTATACCCATTTTGTCCAATTCTGATCTTATCAGTTTACTTGTCTAAAATTCTTGATAACCCAATTCAGGATTCTCATGAATCTTCCTTCTAATACTGATCATCCAATCGAAAACCTCAGGACTCTTGGCAATGTCTAGAAAGTTGTCGATTGAGGAATGATCTGTTGATGATGACAAAATGGATGTTGCAACCAAGACATGCCACATGAGAAAACATTGGAAGCATTTGAGTTTGAAGGAAGAAGAAGACATGGTTTTGTTTTTGTACAATGAGTAGGTCGTTGACTCGTAAACTATGATCCACACATCAATATAAATATCTGAATTTGATAGGTTCAGATTTTCTTAATACATGGAAGACTTTTTTTTTAAATATATATAAAAGTAAAAGTTCTGAGACATTTAAGGATTACTTTAATAAATGTATTAATAAAAATAAAATACAACTCCAAATTTTAACTCCAAATATAACATTTAAGAATTACTTTAAGAAAATATGTATTAATAAAAATAAAATAAAGTATTATGGAGGACTACAACAAAATCTAAGGTAAGAGAACAAATTTAAAATGTTAGTAACTTATTATTACGGGTGTGTAATTGGTTATGGGCATGTTAAAAAATCAAATAAATTAAAGAAAATGTGATTATGGCGATGGTGTAATCGGTTATGCATTCGCAATAACTGGTTATCAGTGTTTCTATTTTTAGAATTTTTAGCTACTGTAATTAATTACAGATTTGTGTAACTGGTTACAAATTTTAGAATTGAGTTTTTTCAATTATTTGATGTTGTAACTTGTGTTTCATTCCACTTGTAATTGTTTAAATACCTTAGAGGTATTGTTATCAATGTTAATGTGAAATTATTCTCTATCTCTCTCTCTCTCTCTCTCTCTCTCTCTCTCGTTACAATTCACTATCTCTCTCACTCTCTCTCTCTTTCCACATTCAATTACTCCATTATTCACTAATCTTATGGTTTCAAGTTCTAACATTTGACATCAAGAGTGTGTTTCTGATCCACAAACACCTAGTGTGCAACATGAATTATGTCTCCAATGAAAGAATATATGCAAGCCTACCTATCCTTGATGCAAAGAATTACGACAAATAATGCAAACAAATGAAGGTGTTATTTAGCTACTAGGATGTTCTTGAAGTGATCAAGAACAGGGTAAATCCTTTTGTTGAATGTGCAACAGATGCACGACGAGCAACGCATAAGGAAGATAAGAAGAAAGATTTCAAGACATTGTTTTTGATCCATCAATGTATGGATGGTTACAACTTTGAAAAAGTTGGTGATTGAGAATCACTAAAGGAAGCGCGTGAAATCTTAGAGAAGGGCATGCAGAGAGGCTGACAAGGCGAAGGCGGTGAGGTTACAAATTAACACACGTCAGCTTGAATTTATTCAAATGGAAGAGAAGGAAGTCATCAACGATTTCACAACAAAAATCACTCGATTAGTGAATCAAGTGAGGCATGTGGAGAAACAGTCACTGAGCAGTATGTTTTCGCGAAAATCTTGTGTTCTTGAATGCCAAGATATGACAATGTGGTTGTAGCAATTGAAGAATTGAAGGATCTTGCAATGATGATCAAAGAGGAGCTATAAAGCTCTCTTGAGGCCCATGGAAAGGAAGGAGGAAAGAAATAATGATAATGCAAAGGCACAAATCTCTTTGTAAGCTCATTTCAACGAGAAGGAGAAGAAATCTAAAGAAAAATGGTCCATGAAGAATAAAAGGAATTTTCAGAATTTTGGTGGAAGAGAGTCCCAAAATGTCAAGAATTCGACTTGTCAAAGGGGTGAGAGCAGCTGCAACTAAATAACAAAGTTAAAAGACTATAATCCATGTCATGTTTTTTATAAAAAAAATAGGTACCAATTAAAAAAATAATCAATCTAGAATTTATTGATATTGACCATTTCCACATTGAATTAGGGTAAGTTAGATGTAAATATATTCAGTATGTTTCTTCTCCATCACCAAATTTCATGTTTCTTTGTCACTTAGCCACAGAGTTAAAAGACTGTAAATGAATGACAAATAAATTACATCTACATGGGTAATCACTAAAATTAAATATTTAAGCTCAATGTTATTTGTATTCGGTATAATCACATTGTATTATTAAATAATAGATGTAGGATATAATAGATGTTTATATTCATCATATTCACATTGACTTATGGTATATTACATCTAGAAATATTCAATATTTTTCTTCATCATCCCAAAGTTTTAGATTTTTTAATCACTAAGCTAAAAACATAGTAGACTATAGTAGGTGTAAAAAATTAATTATATTTTATTTTTCTACTACATCACAAAATTTTAGGTTTTTCACCATTAAATAACAAAGTTAAAAGACTATAATCCATGACATGTTTTTTATAAAAAAATGGTAATAATTTAAAAAATAATCAAGCTAGAATTTAATTATATTTACCATTTGCACATTGAATTATGGTAATTTAGATGTAAATATATTCAATATGTTTCTTCTCCATCCCCAAATTTCATGTTTCTTCGTCACTAAGCCACAGAGTTAAAAGACTGTAAATGAATATCAAATAAATTACATCAACATGGGTAATTACTAAAATTATATATTTAATCTCAATGTTATTTGTATTCGGTATAATCACATTTTATTATGACATAATAGATGTAGGATATAATAGATGTTTATATTCATCGTATTCACATTGACTTATGGTATATTACATCTAGAAATATTCAATATTTTTCTTCACCATCCCAAAGTTTTAGATTTTTTAATCACTAAGCTAAAAACATAGTAGACTATAGTAGGTGTAAAAAATTAATTCTATTTTATTTTTCTACTACATCACAAAATTTTAGGTTTTTCACCACTAAATAACAAAGTTAAAAGACTATAATCCATGACATATTTTTTTATAAAAAATTGGTAATAATTAAAAAAATAATCAAGCTAGAATTTATTGATATTTACCATTTTCACATTGAATTATGGTAATTTACATGTAAATATATTCAACATGTTTCTTCTCCATCCCCAAATTTCATGTTTCTTCGTCACTAAGCCACAAAGTTAAAAGACTGTAAATGAATATCAAATAAATTACATATACATGGGTAATCACTAAAATTATATATTTAAGCTCAGAGTTATTTGTATTCGGTATAATCACATTGTATTATGATATAATAGAAGTAGGATATAATGATGTTTATATTCATCGTATTCACATTGACTTATGGTATATTACATCTAGAAATATTCAATATTTTTCTTCACCATCCCAAACTTTAAGATTTATGTATCACTAAGCTAAAAACATAATAGACTATAGTAGGTGTAAAAAATTAATTATATTTTATTTTTTTTACTACATTACAAAATTTTAGGTTTTTCACCACTAAATAACAAAGGTAAAAGACTATAATCCATGTCATGTTTTTTTATAAAAAATAGGTAAAAATTAAAAAAAAATCAAGCTAGAATTTATTGATATTGACCATTTTCACATGAATTAGGGTATGTTAGATGTAAATATATTCAATATGTTTCTTCTCCATCACCAAATTTCATGTTTCTTCGTCACTAAGTCACAGAGTTAAAAGACTATAAATGAATGACAAATAAACTACATCTACATGGGTAATCACTAAAATTAAATATTTCAGCTCAATTTTATTTTTATTCGGTATAATCACATTGTATTATGATATAATAGATGTAGGATATAATAGATGTTTATATTCATTGTATTCACGTTGACTTATGGTATATTACATCTACAAATATTCAATATTTTTCTTCATCATCGCAAAGTTTTAGATTTTTTAATCACTAAGCTAAAAACATAGTAGACTATAGTAGGTGTAAAAAATTAATTATATTTTATTTTTCTACTACATCACAAAATTTTAAGTTTTTCACCATTAAATAACAAAGTTAAAAGACTATAATCCATGACATATTTTTTTATAAAAAATTGGTAATAATTTAAAAAATAATCAAGCTAGAATTTAGTTATATTTACCATTTGCACATTGAATTATGGTAATTTAGATGTAAATATATTCAATATGTTTCTTCTCCATCCCTAAATTTCATGTTTCTTCGTCACTAAGCCACAGAGTTAAAAGACTGTAAATGAATATCAAATAAATTACATCTACATGGGTAATCACTAAAATTATATATTAAATCTCAATGTTATTTGTATTCGGTATAATCACATTGTATTATGACATAATAGATGTAGGATATAATAGATGTTTATATTCATCGTATTCAGATTCACTTATGGTATATTACATCTAGAAATATACAATATTTTTCCTCACCATCCCAAACTTTTATATTTTTTAATAACTAAGCTAAAAACATAATAGACTATAGTAGGTGTAAAAAATTAATTATATTTTATTTTTCTACTACATCACAAAATTTTAGGTTTTTCACCACTAAATAACAAAGTTAAAAGACTATAATCCATTACATGTTTTTTATAAAAAATAGGTAACAATGAAAAAAATAATCAAGCTAGAATTTATTAATATTGACCATTTTCACATTGAATTATGGTAATTTACATGTAAATATATTCAACATGTTTCTTCTCCATCACCAAATTTCATGTTTCTTTGTCACTAAGCCACAAAGTTAAAAGACTGTAAATGAATGACAAATAAATTACATCTACATGGGTAATCACTAAAATTAAATATTTAAGCTCAATGTTATTTGTATTCGGTATAATCACATTGTATCATGAAATAATAGATGTAGGATATAATAGATGTTTATATTCATCATATTCACATTGACTTATGGTATATTACATCTAGAAATATTCAATATTTTTCTTCACCATCCCAAAGTTTTAGATTTTTTAATCACTAAGCTAAAAACATAGTAGACTATAGTAGGTGTAAAAAATTAATTCTATTTTATTTTTCTACTACATCACAAAATTTTAGGTTTTTCACCACTACATAACAAAGTTAAAAGACTATAATCCATGACATATTTTTTATAAAAAATTGGTAATAATTAAAAAAATAATCAAGCTAGAATTTATTGATATTTACCATTTTCACATTGAATTATGGTAATTTACATGTAAATATATTCAACATGTTTCTTCTCCATCCCCAAATTTCATGTTTCTTCGTCACAAAGCCACAAAGTTAAAAGACTGTAAATGAATATCAAATAAATTACATATACATGGGTAATCACTAAAA